CAACTAAACCCTTTCTATCATTTTTTCTAACTTGTTATAACCATAATATATTCTTGTTAATTATAAATTAATTATTATTATTTTACAAATGTCAATTGTTAATTTCAAATTAAATGAGTAAAGTTTTGAAGCCCCAATTTATAATTGTCCATGTCAGATTAACAAGTGACATTCATAAAATAACAATAATTAATTTAAAATTAACAAGAATCTATTATGGTTTTAACAAGTTACAAAAAATGATAGGAAGAGTTTAATTCTGCGTGTTTGTCATTTATTAATAAATAGTCATTTGATTTTGACAACAACCTATTTGTGATTGACAACAAGACATTGGAACGTTTAACAAGTAAAATGAATAAAGTTTTCAAGCTTTCAATTTACAATTGTCCATGTTAGATTAACAAGTGACATTTATAAACTAACAAGTTCTGTTCAGAAATTAACAATACATATTAAGTTATTACATGGAAGTGGTTTTGTACTTGGTTTACTACTTATAATATTTTTTGCCACACACACACACACACACACACACACACATATATATATATATTAAAGGAATTGGTAGCCACTAAGTGGCTAAGGGTCATGGGATCCAACCCACCCTTGGCCACCTAAAAAACTTTAATTTTGAAACAAAATGTCACCAGTGCCGGAGCTCTGACGACCCTGCTTGCAGTAAAGGCTCTAGCGACCTTATAGCCAACGGAGGTTTGATAGCTGGCAGTGGTCCGATGGCCAATGACAGTGGGGTTTTCTTTCTCTCTTTTTTTTGTTTTTAACTATAACAACATTTCAATCTTTTTACATATGAAATTAATATGTCAAAAGGACTAGAAGACTGCAGTGATAAAAGTAAATCATTTAGTCCTTCTCTGATATAAATTTCGTACGGTGGTCCTTGGATGCTATTTTCCCATAAAAAAATTTAGTTTGTTTTAAATGCCCTAAGATTCACTAACATGAGATGGGATTCACTAATGTCACTTGGAAATTTACTAACCCAACTTAAGAATATTACTAACGTATATTGTAAAAATATGAAACCCCACTTGAGAATCGATTGTTTAACAAAAGTGTCATTTGAAAATTCACTAATCCAACTTGATAAGATTTCTAATGTATATTGTGAAAATATGAAACTTCATTTGAGAATCAATTATTTAACAAAAAGCATTACTTGAGAATTCACAAACTCAACTTGGAAAAATGTCTAACATTTATTGTGAAAAAATGCAACCTCACTTGAAAATTGATTGTTTAACAAAAAGTGACTTGTCCAAATTAGGATCCACTAACGTGAGGTGAGATTCACTAACGCCACTTGGGAATTCACTTACCCAACGTGAAAAAATTTCTAACATTTATTATAAAAACAACATAATTGGGATTTCAACATAATTGAATTTTTTTTTCTCAAGAGCATTTAAGACAAACTATATTTTTCCCATAGTCCTTAATTGAGATTTCAAAATTTTATGATCCTTAATTGAAATTAATGTCCACAAGGGGTCCTTAATTGTCATTTTTCCTTTAAATTATCAAATATTAATCAATAAATTAATTAACACACAAAAACATAAGATAAATTTTCTCCAATTATCTCAAATTTTTGAGAGGTGAAAAGTTTTACCCCTTAATTACACACTCCCAAAGCTTTCACAAAGCTTGAATGGTGCAAGAAATAATTACTCTATAATTAATCACAATATACTTTATCAATATCTATTTTCAAATAATTTTTACTATTAACTCAAGCATTTCTTCACTCCTAAAATTCATTCTCTTCCCATACAAGGGTACCTAGAAGGTTTTCTTAGCTTCTCTTAACTCTCATTTACTTCATTAAACTATTAAATAACCATTAATGGAGTCATATTGCCTAACCACCTCATTAATAGTGGATTTTTGTTTATTAATGACTCTAAAAACTAAAAACGCATAAAGCCATAAATGGTAGATCTAAGTAGTTCAAACAACTCTCATTAACTCAATTTAAGTCAATAAGTTCAGACTCATACCCTCTATGGACCAAAAATTATCATTCTCAATCAAACTGTAACTTTTCCACTGGAGAAAATGGAAGAGATAGGTAGTTTTAAGCTTGAGAATCTTACCTCTAGTGTTTAGAAGCTTCAAAATACTTCAAATGATTTCAAGCTCTAAGCCCTAATAGAGCCTCTTGCATTTCCTTCATTTTCTCTTTTGTTTTTCTTTTGCTCCACATCAATTTCGCGATTGTATTTCAATAGAAAAGTGGCCATGCATTGCGATGGACGCACCATGCACTGTGGCTCGTGGTACAAAGAAGCCTTCCTAGGCGTATTAGCACACATGTGCTACAGCGGTTCATTCACAAGCCACAGCACATGGCACAAAACCTTGCCCTTCAAATTTTCTTCCTTTTTACATATTCGGTTGATCCAACTTTACTTCGGACCTATATTTAAGGCTGAAATTGCAATCAAACATGCCCGTTAAACCTCTCCAACCACACACCTCATTATTAATTTAATTAATCTAATCAGATTTAATTAATTAAGTTTAAATTTGGAGGATGTTACAAATAACATTAAAGGTAAATATGTAAATTTAGTCACAAACTATTTCTCGATAACCACTAGATAGTCTATACTATAGAGTGATGCAAAATAAATCATTAACTATCTAAATCATTGCATGTCACCTGTCATCCACTTCTCACTAATCTCTATTTATTTTTAAAAGTATGGGACAAACCACATTCTTCTTCTTCTTCCACTCATAATTATTATCTTGATTTTAACCTCACAGCTGCCTCCAACATCAACTATCTTCCTTATGGCCTCTTTGAATTATAAGGCTCTCACCTTGTGAGATTCGTTGCTCATCATCTCTTTCATTACCTTCCCTATCTCTTCCACATTCACCATTGCCTCTCCGCCTTAGCCTCACTTCGTTGGCCACTTTGCAACCTCACTTTTCACTACTACCTCCAACATTATCTTCTAATCTCCATTCTAACCATAACAGAATTAGCACTCTATGCCATATGGATTCCATTATCAAGTTCCATCTCCATGCCTCACAAATCCACCCATTAAACTGGGCCCCAAAATATCTCCTTACACCTACGTCTTCAACATAAACCCTTTCTCCTTCTATTTCATCTTCTCCATCACCTATTGTTCCAAATCTTCGTCATCTTCCTTGTCCACCATCTTCAGCTTCACCATCCATAGGAATCTGTAGCCTTTTTATAGTAACCCTCCTACCATCTCTTTTACTTGCTACCTCGTTGTTGTCGTCCTGTTGCTAAAGCAAACATATACCTCAGTGAAGGTGGAGAAGTTTTTTAGAATTAAGGAGGAGGAGGGGTTCTTCTTAAGGCTTATGAATCAAAACCAAGAATTCCTAAGCATCCTCTAAGTGAGACTAGGTAGGAAAAGGATTAGGCGACATGAGACGCTTGTCATGCTAAGAATGTTGAAGAAGATAAGGCTCAAGTGAGTGAACTTTGACCACGAAAGATAGGGACTTGTAGATCTGGCAATAGCGGCAAGCACAATGGTTGTCAGTGATAGTGGTGAGAAGGAGGAGATAAGTAAAGATTGAAGGCAAAGCAAGGAGAAGAGCACAATCGGGAGATAAAGATAAGCCAAAGAGATGAGAGAGAAGAATCTAAACACACATCTACCTGTAATGAATGTAGGCCCCACAGTAAAAAAATTGACATTTGTTCAAATTAGATAGACAATGTTAGATGCTATGCTATGTTTTAAATAATTGATTATTTATTTTACATTACTAGATAATATAATTCATAGCTAAATTTATATATTTACTTTAACAATAAAGTCTCAAAACAATGAATTTATAACACTTAAGTTTCTGACAAAATTTTTTGAATAATTATTTATAATTTTTGATTTAAATAATTATAAATTCATGAGTTCTAGCAATAAATATTAATTTATGGTTGGAATTCTTTAAACCAATATTAAAAATTTATTTTTTAAAGAAAATTTTACCAAAACTTAACTGTCATATATTTAGGCATTGGTAAATCAATTTTTCATATCCCAAAAGCACTTTCCTGCTTATGAAATGTGAAAAACTATTTGGGATAATTTTTTGGGAGCAAAAGGACTTCTGAAATGGGGTCAAACGTGAAAAATTCAAAACTTCATCCATTAACTTTTAAAAAGTAAAATGTTATTTGATCATACTTTCAAGTTTAATATCTTATTCTTTTATTTAAAAAATAATTAATTTATTAAAAATATAATTATCATTTAAATGATAATAATAATGATTAGATATAAAATTTTTTACATTATAAATTAAATAATTAATCATGTTAATTTTAACATTAATGTATAATAAAAATTATAAATTTTTATCATATTTTTTAAAATTATAAATTAAAAAAATATAAATAATTAGAGATTAAGTTTTTAGCATTATACATCAAATTTTATATTATTTAAAATATTTATCATATTTTTTAAATATGTTAAATATATTATATTTGTATAATAAAAAATTACAAATTATCATAAATTAATATTTTTTTTATAATTGTACATTTAAAAACACATTTTACTATCATAATTTAAATAACTTTTAGTTTATAAAACTGACTTCTGAAAAAACATATCCAAATATAAATTTTATTATAATAATTTATTTTTACTAAATTAATTTTTATCAAATAAATTTTTAATAAATATATTTTTAATAAATTAAAAATCAAACACACAGATAAAGTTTTAAAACATTATTGTCCGTATCAAACGGTTATGAAATAGGCATCGTGTAGGAAAGAAGACCCAAGGTGACCGTTGCAGGTGACGAGTGCTGATGGGCGATTGCTGAACGAAGAGGTATACGTACAGCTCCAACTCACGTTGGCCGGCTTCATTTTTTATAGAAAAGGGACGACGGGGAGACACGATCTAGAAGGTCGTCGTTATATATATATATATATATATTTTATATTGTTTCGGTGCTGTTTTGCTTTCTGCTGTTGCATTAGTGTTTGTATGTAAAAGGTGCCTCAACCTCAACCAACCCCATCTATTCCCCCCCATCTCTCTCCCTGTTTCTGCTAAGCGTAAAGTCTGAACCGAATCTGAGATCCGCCATGGCTGCTTCTGCATCTGCCAATTTCTGTCACAAACCATGGAATCCCTCCCTCGATACCCCTCCGAGAATTTCTGTGACGCCTGATCAGCTCGCTCGCTGCACTGAAGCGATGGCTAGCTTTAGGCAGAAAACGCCGGAGATGATCCGTCAAGAGTACGATCACTTGAAGGTAGTTAGTTCGATTAATTCACTTCCGCAATCTGTTTCCAACTCTAAGCTTGACTCCCTTACTCTCTTTTTCCCCCCCTTCATTGATTTCAGGCCAGTTTGGATCTAATAGAAGAAAAGGAGCTGGCCGGAAGATGCACTGTTGCTCTAAATGACGCCAATTTAAAAAAAAATCGGTATCCGGAAAATATCCTGCCATGTAAATACGACATTCTTAGTTATTTGCTGAATGTTATAATGTATATATTCTTTTAAACCTATGTTTAGATTAATGAAAATTTGAATTTGCATTTGAATGTAATTTTTTATAATTTTAAATTATTTTTATTTTCTATTTATTTGAAATTCCACCAATTTCAGCCTTATTATGTTTTTCACCTCCGTAACTCTTGGTTTTTCTATCATTTATCATTCTTGGTTCTTGCCGATTGAATAATAGAAGAAAATTCTTCACTTTCAATTTTCCACTTTTGCTTTGAAACTCAGCTCTTTCCCCCCTTTTGTTTTAAACTTTTTGCAATATATAAATAAAATATTTTAAATCTAAGATTTAAATTCCAATCCATCAAGTTGTTTTATTTATTAGTTGTTTATTTGTTGCTTATTTCAGTTGACGAGAACAGGGTTGTTCTGGAATCAAGTACAGATGCCAGACCCATGGCCATGGGATTTATCAATGCAAGCTTTCTCTCGGCATAAATATTGGAACGAGTATTTGATATTGTTTGGAAAGGGTATATTTACATGGAGATATTGGTATTCTATTCTTGTGATGTGAGTTCCTTTTTTGCAGATAGCTCCCTCTGAAAGTGTTTCTCAGTTTATAGCCACGCAAGGTCCACTACAACATACTTGTGAGGATTTCTGGGAAATGGTAATCCAATTCCACTGCCCCGTCATTGTGAATCTCACTCGGCTCTTTGAGTATGAAAAGAAAACAGGCAAGGACAAGGTACTCCCTCCTTCCTGGATTATAAAGCATCTTCTATAAAAATTATTTGATCTTTAATATGTGAGGCACTTGATGAATATTAATTATATTTTTATAATATCGTTATTTAAATGTATTGGTTATGAGAAGTAACGTACTACAAATTTAATTTTTTTCATTTAAATAGAAATAAAATTAAAAATTTATTATATTTTCAAACAAAATTAATAATTTAATCATTTTTTCCTAGTTTCAATGAGGTAGTTAGGATATTGTAATACTTTCTCCAGATCTATTTAGAAGGCATTGCACTAAAACCGGAAGTATGAGTTGGGTTATACAGGCATTGACCTTTTGTTTGCCCGAATAAAATAACTTGTAAATTAAATGGGTTAATTTTGATGGGTTAGAGTTAGCTTTAAGCCATATTATTTATTCAAAAAAAATTAAAAAATTGAAAATGGAGGGAGTTTTGGCACTACAACCCCACAAAATCAGTAAATTTTGGAATAAATGATGATGGAATTGATTGATATCATATATTTATGATGTAATTTTTTTAATTGCATGAAATATCATATTAGAACTTTTCATTTAAATTTAATTTTTTTAAAAATTTATGAAAAAAAAATAAAAAATTGATAAGTTAGCTCATTTAATTCACTAACTCGGAATTTAATAAAAGTTTGGTGTGAATTTAAAAAATTTAATGCAATTATGAAAAGTTTGGGAAGTTAGCTCATTCAAAAAAATTTAATGGAAGTTTGGTGTGAATTTAAAAAAGATCACTCCTAAATTTATGAAAAGATAATTATGAATGGATAAATAGTTTCATAAAAATATATAAATATTGTTACTTAAAAATTTAAGAACTCACTTGTAAATATTTGAAAAGTTACTTGTAAATATATAAAAAGTTAGTTATAAATAGATATTTAAAGATATGAAAATGTCCTTAAATTATTGATTTACAAATGAGACTGTTCATGGTCACTCACGACTAGCATTCCATATATTTTCAAGGAATATTTTTTAAATTTACAATTGACTATACTTGAATCATAAGTTATGCATGAATTCATAGAATTATTTATTTATTCAAAACTGAAGTTCCATGAACTCACAGTTATGTTTGGTTAACATTCCAAAATTTGGGTTGGGATGTTGAAAACTTCGACCTTGTTTGGATTAAAATAAAAAAGAAAATGGGCGTTCCAGGGTAAATGAGCATTTTCAATGAAGCCACTTGAAAGAGCTTTTACCGAGCGTTTGGAGTTGGCTTAAATTTTTTTATCAGACTTCTCTCTCTTCATTTATTGCCCGATGTATTGCTCTGCCTTCAGACGTTCATGAGTTTGAGCTCTTCACCTCCTTCTCGACGATGTAGAGCTGACCCGAGATTGTGCTTGCCGCCGTTGTCGCCATTTGATCTTCCGTTGATTGTGTCTCAGTGTCTCATCAGTGCCTATCGTGTCTTAGTTTGCTCACCCCCTCCCTTTGTCTTAGTTTGCTCGCCCCGTCCCTTGTTTCTTCTTGAGTCGTTGCTGAGTTCAACGCCAGCATAAATATCTCCCGGACGTTGCCCCAAATCTGGGCCTTGTTTCCGTTACCACTAGCGGCATGGAATTAAAGTAGCAAAATGGGTTTCCGGAGAAGGGCTGAGGAAGAACGCAAGAAGAAAATATTGAGAAGGTGGGCCATTGGCTGAAGAAATGGGGAAGCTCTGTCACTGTAACAAGTCCAAGGCAAATTATTTGAAGTCCAAGCCAAATTACTCGAGGATAAAATTTTATATTATATTATAATTATAATTAGTCATATATCGTAATTCATTGCTTTCCATGAGATAAATAATCTCAAAACAAGAGCAGAAATCCTGCTTTGATTCCAATCATTTTCTATTTATTTTTTTAAATCTAAAAAATTCTAATAATTCTGTATTTATCAATGTACTTTATAGTTGTAATCTATTATTTTAAAAATTATAATTTTAAGTTAAATATTTTTTTAAAAAAATATCAAATTTGTCACAAAAATATATACAAGAAAACTCATGTTCATTTTTATCACTATATATCTTAACTGCCTTTTGCATCAAATCATTTAAACAAATTTTAATTTGTCTAACTAGCTTCTGAAAGAAATAGTATCCAAATATAAATTATGTTATAATTACATTTTTTTTTCATAACCTCAATTTACTAACCTCATTTGAATCCTAACCTCATTTATAAATTTTTTAATCTAAATACACACTTAATCTTCCTAAAATTTATGAGTGAACTATCCTTAAATTCATAAGTGACAATATATAAATTCATAAAATTATCTATTCATTTAATTGACTATTGACTTATTCACTTGTAGCATTATTTAGGGCTTGCTTGACAATCTATTTTAAAAATGGTATTTCGTTCTCCAAAATAAAACAATCTGTTTAGTAATATATTTTAAAAAAATATTTTGAAGAATAAAAAAATAAAATATTATTTTGAAGAACAGAAAAACGAAAACACCTTTTAGATATCTTGAAATTCTTGTTTTGGAAAATAAGAGAGAATAAAAATATATATATATATATATATATTTTTTGTTTTCAGAACATGTTCTATAAAACATCAATTCTAAGAGTAATAAAAGAAAAATAGTTTCAAACATGCCCTTAAATTCACAATTGCACTTAGGTTCATGAGTCACATTCTATTAGTTATTTTAATGATTATTTTTTTTTTAATTACAAATAAAGATCATAACATTTTAATAATTCAAGGTCTTTAAAAGATCTTAATTGTCATTTTCCCTATTTACTTTCACTGTAGAATATGAAATGCAATTTAGGGTAGGCTAAATTACAAAATTTTGGATATGATGTCAAAGGAGTTTGCCATGGATTTTTTTCCCCCCTTCATTCGTCATTTATTGAATGAGTAGTCTTCGTTGATCGCTGTGTGGAGATCACCTCTGTTGCATTCCAATTTTCACAACCAAAAACAGAATGTGGTTTATTTATTTATTTATTTATTTTGTTGGGAGCTTTGATGTTGCATTATTAAGTGCTTTCATTTAAGGGATTGCAGAGACTATACTCATTTTGTCTTTCAAAATGTGCCGTTGCATCTATTCTCTGATTCTTAAGTGTAGGTATTAAAGGATAGTGTAAGTGGTTGAGTAGTCCAGTGGTTGTAGACTTGCATTTGAGTCACATTTGAGTCGCAAATCATTCTTGGAAACCTTCAGGGACCTTATTTCTTTTGCACATGCGTCTTGGGATGCTGAAGTGGTTACCAAGTGAAAGTGTCCTTCACCAATGGTGTTGTCAGTATCTTTTGACCGTATATGTGATCACGAATGATTCCATGCTATGTAAGCAATTTGTTTAAAAGAGTGGTCCTGTACTATTGTTTATTTTGGTTTTGATCAGCTGTTGCAATTCTAAATTTTCGGCATATAGTCTTGACCAAGAGACAAAATATCCTGTGCTGCATTGCATGAAAATGCAATTGCATGCTGTTTTGTTTATTCTTGCTCAAGCTTAAAGATATCATTGCCAAAGTAATTCTATTCTTGCTTTGGTTGATTTTCCACATGCTTGCTTTTCATAAGCTATTTTCCTTTCTCTTTATGCTCTGCAGGAGAAATGTTTCGATTATTTTCAAGCTGAGGAGGGACCTAAAACGTTTGGTAATATCTCTATTGTTTGTGAATGGATGAAAACTACAAAAGAATCATTGGTACTGCGCTATTTGAAGGTCCAAAGAAAGGTGAGACGTGTTGGAATGTAAATATGCTCAATAGATGGTGAGGTCTATTAGCTTGGATCTTATTCCTTATTCTGTAGGTTACAATTATGTAATTAATAGGATATATTTTGTAACTGAGTTTTCGATGGGTTGCATCTTAACTCTCTCGGTTTCTCCTAGAAATATGACGCCTCATTTAGGTTAGAATTGACTTATTATGTTTCATCCACGACCAATGTAGCCAGTAGCCTCCTCTGAGAAGTTTAAGTAAACCTTTTCATTCTTATAGAATAATCTCCTGACTTGTCCTGGTAACTCCGGAGGCTTCACTTACATTACCACCGTCCCCCCCCCCCCCCCAATTTATGGGGGTGCATGATTTCTTTTGGGCAGGTCCACGCTCCCTTGTGAGTTTCATTTGATTGGGAGATTGAGTTTTCAATATAACAAGATGTATTCTTCTTAATGCTCCCATGGTTTAATGTTCACGCTCCCTTTTGAGTTTCATTTGATTGGGAAATTGAGTTTTCAATATAACAAGATGTATTCTTCTTTATGCTCCCATGGTTAAATGTTTATATCTAATTCGGTCAATCAGTGCCTCTGCCTTCGGTTTGTTTTGCTGTTAGACTTCTACACTTTGCTGTTGGACTAAGAACTAATTTATTGTATTTATTTTATTTCCATGTTCTTGTTCTTCATACTGCAAACATTTTTCTACAAATGCTACCTACTGCAGTATATCACCGAGATGTAAACTTCCATTGACTCAAGTGAGAAGCACTGTTTGCAGGCTTGACCTTCTGCCCAAGGACATGTTGCTCTAGGGAAAATTTTCATTAGACTTGCCTGCTATAACTTGACGAAGTCATCTTTTAGACACTGAGTTACTAAGATCCAGACCAATGATTGAGACCTTCTCTTAGCCTTAAACTTTGTACTCTGCAATCAGTACTGTACTTAATTATTGTCTTTGTAATTTATAACTTGCTTATTCACACAAGTCTTTGTTTCTGTTTTGAAACAAAGTTATTGCATTGTGGTTTACTTTTATCATTGATCGTTCTTATGGCAGGAAGATCCGCCCTTATATGTTTTGCACATCCATTATCCTGACTGGCCTGACCATGGAGTTCCCGAAGAAACAAATGCTGTGCGTGCAATTTTTAAGAGATTGTACTGTTTACCACCAAAATGTGGCCCAATAGTTGTGCACTGCAGGTTAGCTCACACACACTTGTTTTGGTGGAAAGCCGACACTTGTTTTATTTATTACAATAATGATAATAAGTCATGTGCATATTTGTTTGAGAAATCTCTGATTCTCAGTGCAGGCATTGGCAGAACTGGAACATACTGTGCAGTTCACAATACAATTCAGAGAATCCTTGCCGGCTATAAGTCTGCCTGGGATCTTCATAATACCATATGTGTCTTCAGGTCACAGCGATATGCAATGGCTCGCGAAAAGGTAGCTGGCGTTGGACTTAGTATTGTCAATTATGAATCATATTGATTGTGAATGGAAAGGCATTTGTTTAGTCTGATCGCATATAAATTAAGTCCCCTTCCCAAACTTAATAAATGGCCAAGTAATTTTGAAATCTAGGAACAAACATGAATTTTGACTCTTCACATTGTTTGATGGTAATGTAGCTAATATTTGTGGATATAGTTTTTCAAAGGTCAATCAAGTAAACCTACTTAGTTGAACTGATAAACTATTAAACAATTGTCTTGTTTAACAAAATATTGTATTCATGACTGGTCTGATCATGGTTTTGATCATTAATCCTTGAGCTAGTGCCTTGACCAGTTTAATGACTAGTCCGATTTTCAGTGCTTTGTTAATTACCCATGCCATGCCCACTTCTTTTTCATCCTCAAACCCCACTTGCTTGAAACCATCACTTGTCTTCCTTGCCCTGATAGACTCTCAACCAATTGTCATGCCTTCACTCTGCGGCCAGCAAGAACAAAATGAAAACTTTTTGAGGAAATATTATGAGTACAATCATTTGATTATTGTTTCACCTTGGAATAGTAAACATTCTTATAAGGAAGTTGGGCTGCTATGTCATTTACCTAAATGTTTATTATCGAGAGGGACATGATTATTTTTGCTCATATTTTATTGTAGACAAAAATGACCTAATGAAATACCAAGATGAACCAGAGAGTCAAATTCAAACGCTAATGAGATTCTTAACATGATTGTATACAAAAGCTATGATGTCAAACAATTATTCGTGGATTATTTTCACATTCCTATATTTGTTCCAATTTCCAATGCCATGGCATTCACTTTCCATACACTTTGTTTTCCCCTGCATTTTTATCAGGATCAGTACTTTTTCTGCTACAAAGCTATTGCAGAGGAACTGAAAGACCTTGTTTCTCATCAGCAATGAGGTGGGTGTGTTGGCCTGGAAAGTCCTTTATTGCAACAAATTTTCCCCCAGTTTTCTTCATCCATTAGCATGATAAATTGCAGTCACATTTGATGTAAACATTTGAACTAGACTTGGTAATATGGATCAACCTGTAAGCTGGCCCGCAATGGATTGTGAGCTTGGTAGGGCGGGTTGATATAACTCATATCTCGTGCGGGCTGTATTTTTGCCAACTCGAAGTGGGTTGGTAGGTTAGGCCGGTAATTTTTTATATGCATTTTTTAATTTTAAAAATTACAAATTTATCATAATGTCAAAAACTTTATTTATCATTAATTATTAGCATCACACAATTAAACATGAAAATATAATTAACATGTAGAAGTATAATTAAATTTGACATTAATTTGAGTAAAGGTTAGCAAGCTAACCTTTTTTCTTTTGTTTTTTTTTTTGTTAGTTGAGAAATTATGAGTCCATTGAAGTAAAACATAATAACAAAGACAATACAAGATAAAATAAAGTTAGGATTTATCCACAATTTGAAAACCTAGTAACTCATAATTTAAAAAAAAATTGATGGCTATATTGCTTGTGTCCACTTTAAGATATTTTACTCAAATTAAATTATGAAAAAGTCTTTGGTTGGGTGCATGCTACACTAATGCAATTGACTGGTTATGGATTTATAGCTATCTTGGCTAATTAAATATGACAGGTAATAATGGTAGTAGGTAATAAGCATGTAATTTGAGTTATTCTAATAATTTGAATGATGGTGAGAGTTTGAGAATTAAGAAAACGATCATGCAATTTTTGTCTTAAAAAAAAAATAAGTGGGCTAACTAACAGGTTAGCCTGCTACATGTTAAAGCTATGTAAGGCAAACCAAAACCACTCCGTATAGAAATGAATTCATTTTTTTCCAACCCAACCTGTAGGTTGGCGACCTAATCTTGTTACCAGCTCTAATCTAAACCATCTTAAGAAGTGAGGTTGCTTGCTTCTTTTTGAGCTATTGCTTACCTTAGAATCTCTCTTTTGGTCCGACAATACTATTAATGCCCTACTTGCAGCTGATTTGAATTGGGAGAGCTTGTGAATTTCACTAATGTTGCTTTAGGATTAATAAGAATTTGGATTTGGGCCAAATCCTTTATTTGAATATATGAAAATCCATGGATTTGGATACATGAAATTCTAGCAATACTATTAATCTAAATCCATTTTTTGTTATAATTCATTTATAATTTCAAATTTCTTCTCTACCCTAGTTATTTGAAATTGTAAGCACTCAAACTCTCTTACTCTCTTCATTTTTTTTAATATAAAAGGGTGCATTAATCTAACAAAGGATACAAAAGTAATCAACTCGCATCATGAGACCTAATCTTTTCATCATCCACTACCTTTTGACAAAAAGATAGTGGTTGATCAAAAGTACAAAAACTCCTTACAAAGTCTAAACTCTCTTTATGTCAAAAGATAGTGGTTGATCAAAAGTACAAAAACTCCTTACAAAGTCTAAACTCTCTTTATATTTTCATTGTTGGTGCCTCTGTCACTCTTACCTCTTCTCTCATCTCTTATTCTTGTCTCATCAATTAAATAATAGAGGTATACCCGTTACTCTAAATCTTTTTATACTAAACAAACAAAGAATATTAAGTTCATGAATTTTAAATGGGACACTTTAAATATAAGATTTTAAATCTAAAATCTAAATCTATTAATTCACACACTACTTAAATTCAAATCATTCTCAAACTTTTAGGTACATATGCAAGCAAGGCAAATTCCTTTGAGCATCCCTTTTATTATAGCACTTAACTAAAGTCTATAGGAGAAGAGAATAGCTTTAAGAGCATGATAATATGAATTACTGTTTTTCTATCCCACTATAGGGTGGAGGCATTTTTTTCCCTATGTTTTTCTCCTCTTCGATGTCAGTGTTTAGCCCAACAAAATGCACAATGATTCATTGGGCTCCAATTCTAGAGGACCAGCACCAACGGCTAACACGAGAGTTAGTCCAAGGAAGAGCGAACGTAGAAGGCATCCCATATGGAAGATTCGTGACCTAGCACCTGAAGAAGCTTAAAAGGCCATGCAGGACGATAGGGACGTTATGCTAATGATTTGAGAAATCTTTCCCTAACATTCTCTCTCCTTCTAGGCATATCTCTATTATGCTTTTCCTTATGCTGTGTTTTCCTTTATGTACAAGAGTTGTAATCGGTGAATTCCATTGATAAGCAACTCAACTGCCTTTTTGAATCCATTACTTTCTTGCATTTATCATGTGATTATGATAACTTGGTGCTCTTGTTGAGAGATGAAGAAAGTTTGGCAGGACAAAATAAAGAAAGTTCAAGCATTTATAAAGGAAACGAACTAGAGATTTACAAAGATTGAGAGTTTTATGTCTACTATGAGTAAATCCTTTGATGGGTTGCGACAAGAGAAAGAGGTTGTTGAGGAAACCTTTGAAATGTCTAAGAGACCTATTATTCCTTATGAGGGATACAATTTGGTGGTACCACTGAAATAAGTAAAGGTAGACTTTCCATGTTTTGATGGAAATGACCTGTTAGATAAGTTATTTCGTGTAGAATACTATTTCTAATTTTTTTAAGATTGTAGAGACCCAGAAACTTGTGATGGCTAGAATATATATGGAAGGGGTGGCTGTACCATGGTTCTAAATGATGAAGAAAGCAAACTAGATCTCCACTTGGTTGACGCTTGCACAAGCTGTGGAAGCCCATTTTGGACCTACTCAATATGAATGTGCATGAGTGTAGCTTTTTAAATTGACTCAACAAGGATCTTATGATGATTATGTGAAGAGTTTTATGGCTTTGGCTAATAGATCGGAAGACATGACAAAAGGGTCACTAATTGATTGCTTCATAGGGGGGCTAAGAACGGAATTACAGAGGGACGTGGTAGTACAAGCTCTAACCACTCTATTGAAGGTAGTAGTATTGGGATGATTATATGTAAACCATGAGGTGCTGGTTAGTACTCCCTTTCGGCCTCAGACCAATTTTTCTCCATCGCTGCCTATGGTGGCAACTAAAAATTTGGCATTACCTTCTTTACTGAACCCACAAACGAGTTTGACAAGTAGCAAGAGAAATTTACCACCCTTATTGCCAACTCTAAATTGGCCTCCAATCCAAAGAATCGCTCCTGTAGAGATGCAAATTCAGCGAGATAAAGGCTTGTGTTATTTTTGTGACGACAAATTTAGCCCATCATATAAGTATAACAAGAAGCAACTTATGATGTTGATAGGTGACGATGAGATAAGTGAAACTATTAAAATAGAGCATGATGAGAATCTAATTGAAAATGCAATACTCCATCATTTATCATTATACACTTTTCGAGGTCCGACTAGTATCGCTACAATTCATTTCCATGGTCAGATTCATGGTATAGAGGTACAAGTATTATTGGATGGAGGAAGCTTTGATAGCTTCATTCACCCTTAAATTGTACAACATTTGGGCATAGTGGTGGAGCCATTTTTAGTTTTGAAAGTACTCATGGGGACCAAACTATTAATGATAAGTCAAGGTTTCATACCAAAATTACCAATATGAATCGGTGAGCACACCCTCTCCATTCTTGTGTTTGTATTGCCAGTAGCCAGAGTTGATGTCGATATTGGGGCATCCTAGCTAGAGACTTTAGGGCCACGCGTGTTTGATTACAGCACATCCACTATTAGATTTATTGAAAATGAGCAATTTATTACTTTAAAAGGGTTTCAATCTATACCTGTTAGCCCAGCCCAATTCCATTATCTGTCTTGAATTATGCGGATAGATTCAGTGGCTGAATTATTTCTTATTCAGTAATTGAGTCCAACAGAATTAGAAAATGGCCCGGGAACACTAGATGCATCTACAAGGTCCACAATGGAGATACCACTAGGTACACTTGAGGATATGGCTTGAGTATTACAACATTACGCTCACATGTTTCAGAGTCCATATGGACTTCCTCCTAATAAGGATCACACCCATCAGATCCAATTGAATATGGGCCATGGTCCAGTCAAGGTAAGACCCTTTAGATATCGTTATAGCTAGAAATCTAAAATAGAAAAGATTATGGCAAAACTATTAGCTTAGGGATTGATACAACCAAGCTCTAGTCCTTTCTTGGCCCTAGTTGTATTAGTAAAGAAAAAAGATGGTATTTGATGTTTTTGTGTAGATTATAGAGCTCTTAATGCAGTGACCGTGAAAGATTCCTTCCCTATGCTAACAGTAGATATGTTATTGGATGAGTTGAGGGGCTCTATTTATTTCTCTAAATTAGATCTTAAAGCGGGGTATCATTAGATCCTTATGAGTTTGGATAATATTGAGAAGACTGCTTTCAGGACCCATCAAGGTTTATATGAATGGTTGGTAATGCCATTTGGTTTAACTAATGCCCCTGTGACTTTTCAATCTTTGATGAACTCAATTTTTTATCCATTTCTACATCAATTTGTTTTGATTTTCTTTGATGATATACTCATTTATAGCCCCACTTGGGAAACCCACTTGTTGCATGTAGAATAAGTGCTTCAACTTCTTGAAACATATAAATTACATGCGAAGATGTCCAAGTGCTCTTTTGGCAAAAGTAAGATTGATTATCTTGGGCATATAGTATTTGTTGCTAGAGTTGAAGTGGATCAAATGAGAATACAAGTGATCAGAGACTAGCCAATGCCTACAACTGTGAGTCAACTTCGAAGCTTCCTTGGGCTCACAAGATACTATAGATGATTTATTCACAAATATGCTACAATAGTAGGGCCCTTAACGAAGTTGCTACAAAAGGATTCCTTTATGTGGTCTATAGAGGGATAGAATGCATTTGAATCACTTAAACAAGCTTTAATTAAAGCTCCTATTTTGGCTCTTCCTAACTTCGACCTACCCTTTATGTTGGAGATAGATGCGTCTAGGATGGGTATAGAAGCTGTGCTCAGTCAGAATGGACACCTTATCACTTACTTTTCTAAAAACCTTTCAAGTCGCATGCAAGCCCAATTCATATATAATTGAGAATTACATGCTATCATTAAAGTCATAGCAAAATTTTAGCATTATCTCTTTGATCATCCATTCATCATACGAACTAATCATGCTAGTTTGAGGTATCTTTTAGATCAACAGGTACACACTCCTGCTTAGGAAGCATATTTGCCAAAATTATTTGGCTATCACTTCTTTATTGAATATAAACCGGGTCATCATAATCAGACAACTGATACTTTATCTTGTGCGACTTACTTTGCATTTTCTTATATGCAACACACTTTCATG